CACTTCAAGCAGCATCATTTAAAGGTCATAAGACAATTGTAAGCCAGCTTATAGAGCATGGAGTGGATGTTAATGCATATGGAGGGAGGTTTGGAAGTGCACTACAGGCAGCATCTTATAGAGGTGATGAGACGATTGTAAGCCTGCTGGTAGAGGGCATGTAGTGGATGTCAATGTATATGGAGGGAGGTTTGGGAGTGCACTCCAGGCAGCATGTTATGGAGGTCATGAAAGAATTGTTCAGCTGTTGATAGAAAAGGGGGCAAATGTCCATTTCCAGGGAGGATTATCTGGAAATGCACTTCAAGCAGCATCATATGGAGGTTATGAGACAATTGTAAGCCTGCTGATAGAGCATGGAGTGGATGTCAATGCAGATGGGGGGGAATGTGGAAGTGCACTTGAGGCAGCATCTTATGGAGGTCATAAGAAAATTGTTCAGTTGTTGATAGAAAAGGGGGCAAATGTGGATTTTCAGGGAGGATGTTATGGAAGTGCACTTCAAGCAGCATCAAGTAGGGGCCATGACACAATTGTAAACCTGCTGGTACAACATGTGGCGAATGTTAATGCACACGAAGCAGAATTTGGAAGTGCACTCTAAGCAGAAATATGGGGACATCATGAAATCTTTTCAGCTGCTCATAGATGAGAGGGTAAATAGTTAGGATTAGTTGAAGCAGAAGTGAAAGTGGTCATTACTGAGTGAAAGTGGAGCCACCTTTGTGGAAGTTGAGCTTCCTTCACTTTTGTCAGTGATAACTTTTCCTTCACTTTCATGGGCCACAATTCATTATGGTAGCAGTATATATTCACTGTAGAGACTATGCCATCATTTCTTTTGATCTATTATCTCATTGCACTCTTCAAACACTGTCAGTCATTTATCCACTGCCAGAAAAAGAAGATCTTTCTCATGTCATGTATTTATTTGTGTTCAATGTCACAGTAAAAGATCTTTTCAATGTCACATACTTTTTTTAGGCTATTTTTGGTTTTCTCTATTATGTTTTTTATAGTCATTGTAGGGCGCTGTATTGACTCTAAGTTGGGTCTTTGACACAACTAATCAAAACTTGATCTTATGACCTCTTTCAGTTCACAACAGACATGAGTAACATCTTTGTAAGTCAATGCATTCATCTACTGGGTTTCCCAGTTTGAACTTCATTTTCTGATTTCATTTCATGGCCTCACAATTAACCAACATTTAACTTACCTTTTCAACTTCAACAGATCAAGAACTCAAGTGTTTCTTTGATGGGTTCCCTGTCAGACAATCATTTCAATCCAACAAATTCTCCAACATTGTTGCAATGATGCCATCAATGAATGGCACACAAGCATCAAAGGTAGTGCTTGAAAGTCCAGTCCAGTCTGGTTTTTTGGCCCAAAACGAAAAGACCGAGACCAAGACTGGTCCACACAATTCCTAAAACCTCAAAAGACTGTACCAGGACTGGAAAAGACCAAGACTGCAGTCTTTTTCGGTCTTTGGACCAGTCTTGGTCCAAACTGGTTACAACTGGTTCAAGACCGGTTTTTCAACTAAATATGCCATAACATTTGCAAGTGTGAGTCAGTAGGTTTATTGAGATTCTTCGTAGCTTTTAAACGAGTGCAAGAACATTAAATTCCGTTGAGAATTGATGTATATACAAAAATACTAAGGTACATCTACTATTTTCACGAAATATTTTACTATTTTGTATGTATCTTTGTCAGTTTTTGGCCTAAAAATATGGTCTTAGGTGCGTTTTGAAGGGTAATTATGTAGGTACAAAATGCTGGTCTTAACCAACAAGACCTGTCCACGTTAACTGGCCTTTTTGTGGTCTTGTCATCTCAAATCTGAAAGACCAAGACTGCAGGTCCAGTCTTTTGCAGTCTTGGTCCATTCCAGTTGCGGTCTTTTTGCAGTCTTGGGACTTGACTTCCAAGCACTAATCAAAGGAGATCTGGGGAAGATTCCGAGACCTTCCTAGTTTTTCAATTGATTTAGGCATGGTAGTACACTTTCTTGAAGGGACAGGCAACAAGAAAATCACTCAAGTGATTAGTAAAGTGCTGGCAAAAAATATTGCAGGTAAAGTCTGAAAAGTCACTTCATTCAAATGAATCGCTCACAGTCAAATAAAAGCGCACAAGTTTAATTTTGAATACAAGAACTGATATCAAGTATAACTTCCTTTCACAAGTTCAAGAGCTGTGATGTGTTGGGGCATGCTGGGGTAAAGTGATAACAAATAACTATCCCCCATTTCTGCCCATGTATTCACAGCCACACAATACTTGACCATGGTCCGTTTCAACTGTTCATCTCTTGATTTCTAGTCTTTTGAGAAAGGTATTATGTAAAACCATTTTACAGCCATAAGATATGTTCTTACTATACTAATATGAATTTTAAAGTAAGTTAAATCATGTCATCATTGTGATCTGACTAGTACAGTGAATCATCACCTACCATCTCCATCATTTCAACCTCCTCTTCAGATTCTCATGCAGCAGTTGGAATAGTCACACCACTATCAAGTCCCAGGACTGTCTGATAACACACCACTGCTTTCTTGAGCTCCCTGACACAATCCACCTTGATTTTCATGTGAGACTTCAAAGGGATGTGCTCTGACAGGCCTGGAACTTTTTTCTCGTTATCTCGGTGTCAGTCAAGTTGTCGGTTATGGTTCTTGACATCCAGTCCCTCTATTCCAGTGTTGTCTAGGACGAGCATCTTTCCTGTCTCAGTGATGTCCACAGCCTTCTTAATGCACTTCTCCATCCACACAAACTCCTTCTGGTGGTTTTCAGCAACCTTTTCTGCATCAGCTTTCATCTGTGCCTCTTTGATTTGGTTATGAATCCCTTGCTCATCTTTCTCCCTTGCCAACTTTCATAAATATGCCTTGTCTTCCTCAGTATTGAGTTTCTCCCTATGGAATGTCTCAGTGTTGTTTTGTCGAGTGACAAAGCTACTGTTAAACTTGTGAAATGTCTCACTTGGCCATTTTCTTTGCCCCAGTCGCCAACTTCCAAGCATGCCCTCATTTACATCATTTGTCAATGCAAAAGAGCTTGCCTTTCTCTTTGAAAGACAGGTTGTTGATATTGCCTCCTTCAAGAAATTCATCCAAGAAGTGTTCAGAAAAGGTTTTCAAGGCTCCTTTCACAAACACAGTGATAGCTCTGTCGAGGTCAGGGAGGTTGGGCTTGAGTGAGTGGATGGCCTTCATCACCAACAAGGTCCAATCATTCCACTTGTGTCTGTCGAGGGATCCCAAGGGATGTGAAGCATCTTCATTTGTCCAACATTTCAGATCCTTGCTGACAGCTTTGAGAAAATCACACTTCCTTTGGAAGAATGGCCCAAGATCAAGAAGGTTTTCATGCAAGTGGACATGTTGCATGAAAGGACATGAGACATTGACATTGTCAAGTGCCATAACACAGAGCTCTGTCAAGGTAGGCCAATACTTTACCATCCCCCACATAATCCACATGGACTCCACTGGATTCCACTGGCTTCCACTGGCTTCCACTGGACTGGACTGGACTGGACTGCCAATCACAAAACTGGACTCCACTGGACTCTCCCAAGACAAAACTGGACTGGACTGGACTGAACTTAGATTTCAAAAGAAAATTGAAGTATATTTATTAATTAAATACATTACTTTTACTACATTCTATGTTACAGAGAGGGGGAGGGAGAAGAGGGAAAGAAAGGGGGAAGAGAGGAATGGAGGGGGGAGGGAGCAAGGAAGGGGGGGGGAAAGGGGGAGGGAGTGTTGGAGGGAGGAGGGAGTGAAGGGGGGAGAGAGTGGAGGGGAGAGGTGGTGGTGCTGGGCCCTTGTCGCCGTTCCGCATTGGCATGCCGTTGGCGCTGGTGGTTTTTCGTGGGCACATGTCGTGTTTCGGGTGGGCACTCGTTGTTTTTCGTGGGCGCACATTGTTTTTCATGGGCGCTCGTGGTTTTTCGTGTGTGATGGGGGTGCGTGCTTGTGTGGACGCATCGTGTCGTCGTCCTGGCGTGTCGCATCATCGTCCTGGCATGTCGTTGACATGTCATCGTCATGTCAGTGTGCAGTGGTGGGTCATGGTGGTGGGCGCTCGTCGTTTTTCATGGGTGCTCATCGTCATTCGTGTGTGGGGGTGGGTGGGTGCTCATCACGGTTCGTTGACAGTGGTGGGCGGTCATCATTTGCTGTGACGTGGGTTTCATTGTTTTCGTTGTCGACGTGTCGTCGCCGGGTTGCGTTGTTGCGCCGTGTCGACATCTGTGGGTGAGTGGATCAGGTGGAGTTGGGTTGCTCACCCATGGATGACAAATGATGCTTGTCGTCATTTGTCATCTGGTTGCCACGTCGCCGATAGCGACGTGGCACCAACATCCATGACTGGGCATGGTCCCTTGTTTCCTCGTTTGTTTCGTTCGGCGTGTTGCTTCGGTGACGTGGCTGAGAGCGGTGGTGATGGCCGAGAGTGGTGGTGGGTGCAGGACGTTGGTGAGGGGTGGTGGTGGTGGTGGTGGAAGGGAAAGAGATGGTCACGCAGATGTAACTATGCCGCAGAAGGCAAACGTGACAGTATGGCAACGTTTGAACACCACAGGTACGTCATGTGCCACACCCTGCAGACTGAACAAAATCATTGATCGTTGTTACGATGAGTACTTGTGTATACTTCTATATAACTCATTACATTTGTATAGTCTAATTTCGCTTTTTTGGTAGTAATTGATATCCATAAGTAATGATGGACTGGACTCACTGGACTGCTGGATTCCACTGCAGTCCAGTGGAATCCAGTGGACTATGACTGGACTCATAGTCCACTGGACTGGGACTGGACTCAGGAAAGTGGCTTGTAGTCCAGTGAGAGTCCAGTGGACTGGACTGGACTGGGCATTGTGCAAGCCAATCTGGCCTAGCAACTGGGCCACTGGAATCCACTGGACTCCACTGGAATCCACATGGATTACGTGGGGGATGGTAAAGACCTCAGGTAGGCACATCCTTCAATGCACTCAGAAAATGCTTCTCAATATTAGTCAAGGCTGGCTTGTCCTTCACATCACACATGAATTCCATGAATTTCATGAAGTGGTTGTGATACACAATTAGAATGGCTGCTGCTTCACCATGCAAGTTGTATCTGGTGTTGGTGACATTGGGGTAGGGGATATGATAACCAACATGGTGTTCCATGTACCAGTTGTACATGTCCTTTGTCCTTGTTTCAGCAAATGAGTCCTCCTAGCATTGTTGCACAGCTAGCCCCTTGCTTTGATACTTTGGCAGCCCATTTTTCTGTGGCTGATGGTTCTGATGAGTTTTCGCAACATTCGAGGACAGCTGTATTGTCCTTGTTTGCAAGTAGTATTGGGGGTGTCTTTCCCCCTTCTGAGCTCTTTACTCTCCCCCACCTATTCCTACTGGACTCCGGGAATCCTACTGGACTGGACTAAGACTGGGACAAATTTCATGTTGGCTGATCACCATACAAATCTTGTCTCCCAGTCCTAGTGGAGTCCTGGTAAATTCCTACTGGAATGATCCCAAATCACAAGGAATTATGGATTCCTAAGGAATGGGTATAGTGGAGTCCAGTACAAGGAGTCCAGTAGGAGTCCAGTAGGAATTTATGAGTACCAGGAGTCCAGTGGGACCACAGTTTGTCACTGTTATTGTTATTATATATCGAGTTTAAACAGAGTGTTTACTCAAGTTCAATGAGAGCCGACCAAGGCTAGTTGCATGCGCACAAAACAGTTGTGTGTCTGCTGACACACAACTCCGAGCTGCTGCTCATATTTTCTCCAACTCACGTGGTCCATGCCTGGATGAGCGTTAGGAGACTCTAACATATTTTTAGATCTACCCCTCATGGTTGAGGAGTGAGATTGAGATGCCCCTTTCCACTAGGCTCTCGTCTTGACATCTCACTCCTCAACCAGGTAAGATCTTCATCTTTCTATCTAGGCTATCGTCTTGATATCTTACTTCATTGTCCAGTTTAGCATACACATTTTTCGTCACCCTCCCACCCTCTTCCTTGTCATACGAATGCTCACATTAGTACTGCTCATGTATGTAGCCATACCTCGAGTGGAAATACGTCGGAATCAGGCGCGCGCCGCGCCTGATCTTCCTGACTTTGGCTATTCCCTTATCACTCAGTCAGTCACATTGCCTCTGCATCACGCAAAGCCTAGGCGTCATTGGATATAAAAATAAAAGGGCAACATCAAGAATTGAACCACTGACCTCACACTAAAGCTGCAATAACTAACACAGGGAAGAAACAGTGATTTGTCCAATGAGTAAATTACTGGGCATATGTTGATTGGAGGCATTATTGCTCAATGATTTTCTTTACATTTGTTCAAAGGATAAATTGAAAATATATTCAAAAATAAAGCTGAGATAAAAAGACACTATGGATGGTAGTCCCATGTAAAATATGCCCATTAGTAAAAATCTAAATGAAGCTGATGAATTTACTTAAAATGTGTCTTGAAATATTGGGCATATTCTGATTACATTTAATAGTATCTGGGCACATCGAAATCAAATATTGAATGAGCTGCTGGGGAAAACTTGATGGACATTTTACTAACAGTTCTCATGCAGTCCCTTGTGCACAATATAATTGCAATTGATGTCTAATGGTGGGCATATTTTGAATTTACCTACCTAACAAATGTGAAGTAAATTATCGAGCAATAATGCCTCCGATCAACATATGCCCAGGATTTACTCATTGGACAAATCACTGTTTCTCCCCTGTGTAAGACAAGTGCTCAAACACCTGGATCACGAAGGCTTTGCTATATGCTATCCATACCTACCACTCAGCTGCTTTCCTAGAACGAATGTTGGCAAATTCTGTGTGTGGGAATTCTGCCCAAACCCTCAACCCACACTTCCTCACAACCACCACCCATCCACAACACATCCACAACCACAGCCTGCCACCCACCACTCTTGCCACCCATCAACACACACCATGCCCACCAACACACGCTCTGCAAAGCCACGACGACCTCCAGCAGCTGCAAAACACAAGTGAAGATGACTGCCAAGGCTCCAAAATGAACAAGAACAATACCCACACAACAATGCCAACAAAACAAATGCCAGCATGTGTGATATAGGATTGGAAGGGAATGCCCAGAGGCCATAGTCAAACAGTGGTATATAGCTAGATTTGGATATCTTACATAATATATTGATCTTTTGTCTTGAACTACCATCTTGTCAGCTGTGTTGCCTTCCTCTTGCACTACATGTAGTGCTTTGTATATCTGTACTTCCTACAGTATGCATAATCATGTTGGGCCAGCTGAGTATCTTGTAACTGCTCATTGCTCACTTATGGGTGTTGATCCCAGATCCACCCATTCTTGCCTCCTCCTTCCCTCTTGGCTTCAGCTATGTGAGAAGTTCAGAGTGAACACTTCACAGCATGTGTGAACAGACAGAGGCAACGACACCAAGACAAGGTGAGCTCACTACCCTCTCCTTCACTCAGTTAGTTCTCACAGAATCTGGGTGCCACATCGCTGTCAGCGATGTGGCACCCAAATGACAAATGTCAATCTGAAATTCATTGTTCATTGTCATTTTTTTCTTCTAGACCATGAAACCGCCCATGTACATCAACTCCCCATCCACAAACAACTTTCATGGCACACGCAGCCCCACCGCCCACAAATTACACCCAGGTGCCCACAAAAAAACACCCAACTAGTGTTCGGAAGTCTGGTCTCGTGACTGGAAAAATACCATAACCAGACTGGACCAAGAGCACAAAAAACTGGACCTGTGGTCTGGTTTTTTCATTTTTGAGAAGTAAAGACTGCAAAAAGGCTGGTCTGAATGAACCAGTCTTAACCGGTTAGGACTGCTTTTTGTAGCCCACTAAATACCCTTCGAAATGCACTCAAGCACATATTAATTGGTTCAAATTTGACAAAGATATAGTTGAAAATGTAAAATTTTGTTAAAAATAGTATACAGTATGTACCAGACTTCTTTTATATAAACACCAATTCTTAATGGAATTCAATGTTCTTGGGCCCTTTTCAAAGCTATGACAAACTTTAATAAATTTACCAATTCATAATTTTAAAATATTGGCTGAAAAACCAGTCTTAAACTGGTTAAAACTGAAGAAGACCAAGACTGGTCTATAGACCACAAAAAACGGCAGTCTGCAATCTTTTTGTGGTCAAGTTCAGTCTTTTGACTTCTGGGAAAAAGGCAGACCAGTTACAGTTACGGTTAAAGCCCTGGGGCATCAAAAAACCAGACCAGACTAGACTTTTAAAGACTACACCCAGTGCCCATGAAGACCACCCAGTGCCCACAAACAACAACTGCCACCCACAAAGAGCAGCCTGCCCATACATGCAAATGACACGGCACCCACAAAATGATAACTCAGTGCCTCAAACGAGAATACTGAGATACAGTGACAACCCCCTCCCACCCACCAACAACGAACACCCATGAAAGACAACCACCTACACTTATGAACAATGACTGCCCACAAGAGACAAGCAGCAGCCCAACACCCTGACGCACACCCCCAGAGACAACAAGCACCCATGCTCATGGATGCCGAGCGCTCACCCCAAATGACAAGCACTCACTGATGACAAGCACCCTTCACTCCCTCCCCCTCCCTCCCTCCTTCTCCCTCCCTCCCCCTCCCTCCCTCCTTCTCTCTGTCCCCCTCTCTCCCTCCCTCCCTCTCTCCCTCTCTCTCTTCCTCCCTCCACCTCACTCCCTGACCCCCCACCCTCCCCCCTCCATCATTTCACTTCACTCACTCTCCCCTCCTTCCATCACTCTCTCCCTCCATAACTCCCTCCATCACTCCCTCCATCACTCCCTCCCTCCCCTCATTACATTAGTAAAATATCTTTCTGTATATAGTTAGGTATAGAGTTGTCAATACACAATACAATATTTGTTTAAATGTGAATTTTGTATAGAAAGTTGAAGTTCTGACTTGATGATATATTGATATTCCAGTAGGAATCCAGGAGGAAGGCAATGTCTGAAGCATTTCATCTACTGTGTTCAAGTCCAGTTGGAGTCCAGTAGGAAGGGAATGTGAAAATGCCTTTTTGGAAATTTTGTTGAAGTCCAGTAGGAATCCAGTGGGAATCCAGTGGGAATCCAGCTGGACTCCCAGAGTCCAGTAGGAATAGATGGGGGAGAGATAAGTATTGTACACAGCTACATTTAGACTACAATAAATTCTTGGAAAGAACCAGAAAATGACCCATGGTCCATTCTTTTTGCACTCAACTGTAACAACATCACCACATCATCTCTATTTCATTTCAAAATTTATTGGTATTTCTCATCTAAAAATGCAAAACTTGCCATATTTGGCAATTTTTAGTGTTCATTGCATTCTAATGCCATTCCATTCCACTGCATTCCAGGGACTGTCCCCGTGTAAATACTGGAATAATGAAATTCTGAAAATTTGGCTGGTAAATTCCACTGGAATGGTACCGGAATTTGCAGGAATGACTGGAATCCAGCAGGAATTAGTAGGACATGACTAAGACCTCCAGTACTTTGCTGTTCAAGCTGGACTGTACTTGAGAGGCAAAGGATTCTCTCAAAACCCTAAGAACATGTCAACTAATTCCCTGTTGCTCACCAATACTAGCAGCATCATAAGTAATTTTTGTTGTGCTCTAAAACTTCGAGTTGAAGTTTTCAACACAGAGTAGTTCTGTTCTAGAAGTTTACTGTTTTCTCTGCATACTTTCTTTAATGCAGTCAAGGTCCATTTTCCTGCCATTTGGACATCAGAGTAATCATCAATCAGAGCCTTCTTAAAGTCAACAAAGGGTTGACCATCTTTGAATTCTTTGAATGCTCTCTATTTGAATTTTGTCTGTTGGTCTGTGTATTTGCCTAACTTCTTCTTTTTATCACTGTCAAGACTGATTCCATTTTCTTCAAATAAATCTTCCATTTGGTCTATGAAACATAGTCCTATTTGTGGCATTCTCACAATTTAGCAACAATCTTGTATTTCCATAAAATGGACTTGATGACTTGGCTGGACTTGCTAAGTACAACTTGATGCAAAGGTTTCAAGATCAATGCAACACAGTCTGATCATTGCAGTCAGAAAGAAATCGTCCACTGGCACATGGTGTTTGTCACGAACCATCCCACACCCATGCCCTATGCCAAGACATTCCCAAGACGAACCCTTCACCATGATGCCTTGTTTCTCCATCCCAACCCTTATTGTCTTGTTACCTTGTGATTCCATGCTCCCTTGTCTCCTCCCATCCTTATTGTACTTATTGTTCTTCCTTGGTTGCCTTGGTATCCTTCCCTTAGGTATTTAGGTAGCTTGTCATGTACTCACTACCTCATCCTTGATATTACAAATGCACATCTGAACTGTTTCTCTGTTTCTCGTCTCTCGTCTCTGTCTCCTGGTTGAGCCCTGCTCTCAGTTATAGGCCTGTGTGGTTGAGCCTCTATCTCCCAGCTCCGATTGAGCCTTGCTTCCATCTTGTTACTAACCTGGCAATGCCTTGGAGTCCGATTCAGTTTGTGATCTCACTTGCATTCAATCTCTTTGCCTCCCTGCCTCTCGCATTCTCTATATCTGATTCCATCTCCTTTCTACCTTTCCAACGCCCCTCATACACCTCATTCCACCCAGAACTCATCCTGTTATGCACATATCTCTTTTCATCAACCCAACCAACTCCAACGCTGTGGTCAACTCCAACGCCATACCTCCTCTGATGCCATAGTCAACTCCATCACCATACCTCCTCTGACACCATAGTCAACTCCAATGTTGTACCTCCTCCAATGTCATACCTCCTCCAATGCTGTAGTGAACTCCAGCGCTGTACCTCCTCCAGCATTGTTCCCAACTCTGAGTTCCTTGTCTGTCTGCAAGTTACCTTTGCCACAACCCACTTCTGCACCTTCACCTAACCCTCAGGTGCATGAGAGCTTCCCTCTTAGGACAGATCCTCACAGTGTTGACTGTTTCCATAGCCATGGTTAAATGAACGATGGGAGTGAAAAGGGATGGGATAGTGAGAGATTTAATATCACAAGGAGATTGCTGGAGCCTGTCAGAAATGCACATGATAGTGACCATGAAGGGGAGTCATTGAGGACTTGATTAAGATTTATTTGTGCACACTCTACAACTATGTAAACAAAAGACCTGATCGATTAGTGCTTAGTTAGCAATTAGTTGTGATGTGATCAATGATCATGCAGTGGGAAAATGTACATCAACTCCAATCCTTGAGCAAAAGCCTGAGGTCATGAACAGATCATCTGTTAATGACCCTCAAATGTGTCCAACCAAGTTCGGCTACAGCAGACAGTGGTTTCTCCCAAGTCCTGACCACTGGTCGTGGCATTTCCATTTATCCCCATATACGACCTCTTGCTTGGCACATCAGCAAGATCGCAAATCACTTGGGATGCTTGGCCAAGTGCACCAACTTCGCCAAGCTGCCAAGCTTGATTGGGTCATCTGAAAAAAGAGGCCAGATATAATTTGGCACAAAATCAGCCTAGTAGCTCCCAAGCAACGTCGATTTGAGCATGCTCGACTGATTTTTAATGTATTTGGGCTACTACATGTAGACTACATAATGTACCTATGACCCTTTTGTGCACAAGAAGTGCTTCTGTGTGAATATTGCTATGCATCTGTGTCCATGTAGGATGAGACTGATGCACTGTAATTGAGGTGAGAAAAAAAAACACACCAAAGTTGGATAGTTGTGTGGGGAGTATGCCCAATCCTCCAGTACCAGTCAAGACATGGATTCCAGTTGTCCATAGAAATAATGCACATTCCATCTGATCCAGAATTAATATGAAATGTGAGGGATCAATGAAGAGCACACTCACGGTGGTAGTGCACAGGCCCGACCTCCAGCTTGAGATCCATGTGATCTGTCACAAATGGTAAGCATGTGGGTGAATTGGCAGACTTAAAAGTGCACCGTGTTTTCCTATCTGCTAAGTGGTGAGGTCTTGCATCTTCATACTGGGGTGCTGTCGTCAGTGTAAATGGCCCCACAAGAGGGGATGAGAGGCCTGGTATCATCATTCTCATCTTGTCGACCTCACCTCACTCTTCTTTCTTTGTCTTGTTTTCGTCTTTGTCAATTCTCACTGGCATTGCCATTTTTATCAGCCTCTCCCAGTTAGAGGGGAGAAAAGGACCCTGGTGGGGCTATGTAGATGATGAGTGGTTGGTGGGAGGGTGAGCTGGCAATACCCACCTGGCGGTCATGGCCATTGTGGAATGTGGTTGAGATCACATGCTGTGAGAATGGTTGTGGTGGTTATCTTTGCAGTTGCCCTGGCTTGATTCAGTGTGAGAGTTCACAGGGCTACATATCTGGTGAGAGTTGGGGGTGGTCAGTACAAATGAACTGGCAGGTAGGTACTCACATGGCCATGTCCATTCCCTTCGTCGTGGTACAGTTGTGTTCTGTAATACATGATCCCAGCACTGGGAGGAATAAATACTTTGATGGTTACAACGATGCCAATGAGGATGATATGTCAGCTCAGGGGAGAGGCAGAACTCCATGATGAGGCAGGGGAAGGGGGAGAGGGCAAAGAACATCTAGGTGCTTGTTTGTTGCATTGACTGTAAAAGAGATGAGAAGGAGGGGAGGCATACAGAATAATCATACCTTGAAACTGCTATGCACAAGGGTCTTGTCAGATCCAGGATGAGGAATTTTCGACCTGTGTGTTGTGTGATATGGTGGGTAAAAGAGGTTTTGGAATAGTGTTTGAAAGTCTGGTTCGGTCCGGTTTTTTGATGCCCAGGGGTGTTAACCGTAACCGTAACCAGTCTGCCTTTTCCCCAGAAGTCAAAAGACCAGACCGGACCACAAAAAGACCGGTTTCGGTCTGCATCGGTTTTAACCGGTTTATGACCGGTCTTTAGGCCAATATTTTAAAATTATGAATCAGTAGATTTATTAACATCTCTAATAGCTTCAAAACGAGCCCAAGAACGTTAAATTCCGTTAGGAATTGGTGCTTCTATAAAATAAGTCTGGTACATCTATTATTCCCAAAAGTAATTTACATTTTAATTCATATCTCTCTCGTTTTTTTACCAAATCGTACGTTCTTGGGTGCGTTTTAAAGGGTATTTAAGGGGTTACAAAAGACCGGTTCACGTTAACCGGTTCTTTTTGCGGTCTTTACATTTCAAAAATAAAAGACCGTAACCGCAGGTCCGGTCTTTTGTGGTCTTGGTCCGATCTGGTTACGGTCTTTTTCCAGTCACAAGACCGGACTTCCAAACACTATTTTGGAATGCATCCTCTGACAGAAAAAAATAAAATGGAAAAATTGGCAAGTGAAGGAGAACTCACAGGAACGATGGGGAGACCAGCACCACCATTGGTCAGAGTCAAGAATGTTCCATATTTCGAGAGTGTGAAGCAAAGGGGAAATTGAAGACAAAGTTGGGGTGTTCAGCAGTGACTATCACTATTGTATCACTACATAGTATGGCGGCAAAACTTCAGATCACAATTGATCATCAGATGGCTGAAGGGCCAGCACAAGAGACTTACAGCAAGATTTATCCTGTTGTTCACTCTGTCATTCACCCAATGTTCACCAGCACCCATCACCAACATCCATGGTATTTATTACTTGCCCTGCCCTGCTCAAGTTAAATCTCAATGAGGGCTCACTAGTGCTCACTTATCATCTCCACAGGAAACCGAATCGGGTTCAGGTTAACATTCCAGATGGATCTACTACACTGCCATGCACCACCACTACCATCACCTCCTTGTTTAGGCACCTTCCTCATGGTGCTCACCTTGAGGGATTTCTTAGCATTTGACTTTTATTTTGGTACTCACTGGATGTTTTTACTATGTTACCAAGTATGCAATTAATATGTCACTATCTTGTTATTGTGGTACTTGGTTTTTGAACTAAAAACTTGGCCAATCATAGTTGGTGACACAAATCGGCATAGCTTGGGAGGGGTCATGCAATTTTGTGATGTTTGGCAAGCCCCCAAGCTCACCAAGCACGCCAAGTGTTGCCAAACAATTTGTGGTCTTGCTGATGCAGTTGAACCTTGTGATGCACTGGGAATATCTATTTGTGTCAGTCCTCATAGTCATAGTCTGGACTCAATTCAAAAAAATGGCCAACAAATCCAATGTATGTGTCTAGTAGTCTGTGACATTCCTGGCAGAATTCTTAAGTGCTGCAATACAATAGCTTGAGCACATTCCAACTATTGGCAGGCCATCCCAGCCATGGTTATCCTATCTCAGAGCCATCTGCCTGCTGTTTGACAGCTGCAACATACTACAAAAAGGTTACGATCAAGTATGAGTTGTCACTGTGTCTGACTTTCACAAAGTTTGGGCTTACCAATGTGAGGATAACAGCACAAATAGTGTTCACAGGTTCAGTTCAGTCCGGTTTTTTGCCCCGAAAATGCGCAACCATGGACCGCAACCAGTCCAGGACCAACCCAGATATTGAGGGAATCGAACCGAACCACCTAGGACCAGTCTTTTGCAGTCCATGGAACCGATTCAGACCGATCCAGACTGGTTTTTTTGTGTATAATTCATTGTACTCATATAAACCATTTGTATCTCAACTATTATTACTCTGAAAAATAAACAGGCTATACAGAATAGTAAGGAATGTAAATACCTGTCATTCCACCAATTTTTAAGAGATTTAATGAAGATTTGACATAGCTATGACTGAAACCGAATTACATCTCCTAAAGACTCAGGCAAAATTTAATGTGGCAACTGCAAATTATTTGATGCATACCATACATTGATAGATGGTGAGCATATTTTCATACTTATAGTTTCAATATCCAAAAATTGAATCAAGCAAAATGATGAAAATTTGAGTGAGTTAGAATTAAAGTCAGTCTGGTACAAGTTGCACAAACAAGTATTTGTACCAAAATGGATTTGGTTATATCTTTCTCAGTTATTAACCATTTTTGATGAACTAAAAACCCAATTAAAGGTAATAAATGTGGTTACAAGGGTATGTAACGCACGTGACCATTTAACCAGTTGCAACCGATTAAAACTGGTCTTTGAACGGTTTTAAAAGATACTTGAAATGAGGCAACTGGTAACCAGAATAACCCCAAATGTGGGCGACTGCAACCAAAAAAAAAGACTGGACCATGCTCCAGTTTAGTTCAGTCCTATGGACTGAACCTTTAAACACTAAGCACAAAGGCAGGCTCTACTGATTTTCAGTTCTGGATGGTTGTTGCATGTGGTCCTCACTATCTTGCAGATATTCGCAAGGCACTGGAAGATGTCCTGGTGTTTGAGGGCAATAGTGATGTGCATCATTGGACCACTATTGTGACCTGCTTTGTATGGATTGAATCACTTTTTTTCAGGGGATGTACTTCCTGGGTTCCCTGCCAATGATTATAGAGAGCTGTATTCACATTTCGATGATCCGACATATCTTAACGTGGGAGCTTGAGAGCTCATTTAGTGACATACATGATGAAATTGTCACAGTGCTTGGTGAGACATTTGCCCATCAAGGATGTGGTCTGTCCCCATTTTGTCATAGGCTTCTGCTAATACCGACCTGCTCCAGATTGGTTTGAGATCTCAACCTTTGACATGGTGCAGTCCACTGTATGCTGGACTGTACACTGCCTCCTAGTTGGATTACCATTGTGTGTGCTTTTTTTTTGCTCCTCTTTTCTACTGGTCTATTGTGTTCATGAATTGTTCATTGCAGACAGGTCGGAATCCTGAATATGTAGAATTGTTGTCCCAATTTGCATTTGTCTTTGCCAAGACTGGTGTCCTTCTGAGGGTGTTCCCACCTTGGCTTAAAAGGTATGTTGGTTGCCAGTTAGTATCAGTTCTTTTTTTTTTTGAGAAAGTCCAACTTTCTGCCCAGGATTGTCAGGCATCTGTTCTTTAATGTACCAAATATATTACAGCATATGACAGAGCACCTGAGGCCCCCCATGGAAGAATGGAAGAGCAGCACAATTCATGGCAACAAGAAATCTGGGAAATCATCACCTGTAAGTTGTGGCGGGCCCATTGATGGAGCAGTAGATAACTGAGTTATGCAACAGTGCCTGTTTTCATCATTTATGGATGAGATTGATGGTGAGTGATGAAGAAAAGCTCAAACACACTGCTTTTCACCTTCTTATGGTAGACTTTGATGCCGTCTATGCACCAACTGTCATGTGTTGGTGCTTCTGACTTGTGATACCTTTCTATTCATGACAAGCCTTTTATCAGAGTTTTACACAAGCATTATATAACCTCATTGCACATCCCAGATGCATAGGACCACTCTGATATGAGATTGAGGCTGTTATTGCTCGAGAGGGCTGGACAAAGGGTGCCATGGATGGAATGCAGAAATTAGACAGCTTCTTGAAAGAGTTGCAAAGACTCACTGGACTTTCTGTGGGTGCGGATATCCTCTCTCTTGGATTTCCTGTGGTCTAAATGGTGTACAGTCACCATGTACCACACAGTCCTGAAGAACTTCACTTTTTCTGATGGCACCTTCCTGCCTCCTGGCACAGGGATTGCTGTGGCGGCACATGCAACTCATCTCGACAGCGACATTTATCCGGATGCAGGAACATTTAACGCCTTTCATTTCTTGGAAGGACAAACTGACAATGAAAGTGGGCAGTTGTGTTGTGCCCTCAGCCCATTATTTAGCATTTGGGTCAGCAAGATACATATGGTGCAATTTTCTCTCCATCCATTCCCCCAATTGATCAACAATTGATTGATCTGCAATGAAACACATTTTTTTCTGTAGCCCTGGCTGATTTTTTGCAGTCATTATGATGAAAACAATGTTTGTGCACCTGTTGTTGAATTATGACCTCAAGTTTGTGAAGGGGGGAGAACACCTGTCTGGTTATTGGTTTGTTTTTGATTATATCCCTGACACAAAGGCAAAAATTCTCCTGAGGAAGAGGTCACAAAATTAAAATGAATAAGTACACATTGTCTGTAATGCTCAGACCGGGAATCCTGTGCTACTGCTATGTATTTTCTGGTCAAGTATGCTGTACAGCCATAAACCCAGCCCTTCATCTGCACCTGTCCCTGTATCCTGCATTCAACACTTGGCACTATCAATGCCACAACCATTCCCTTTGCATCCTTTGGCATAAATTCCTCAGGCAAAGGAAGGTATGCATATACCACCATGAGTTAGCATGTGATTCTTACATTTACAAGCTCATGCATGGATTGGCAAGTATGGAAGTGTGATCATCTGACAATCTTAAAACAGTTAATAACTGTAACACTTCATCTCTCTAGGTGGGAAAAAATTCCATCTTTGTGGTGCATGACCAAAGAGTTGGTCAATTTAGTACAGTAAAGCATGTTTTGGCCCATCATTTTGCATGCAAAGTAGTATTTCACCACTGCACTTTCATATCTTGCATTATAGAAAAAAAGTGTTCAAATGGATGGCAGCTAGGTCCACTTTGATTTTATTTTTCACAGAAAAAATTATAACCATGGATAAAGATTTGAACAACCTCTCAAATGTCTAGTTTCTCCCATTAAATCAGCTGGGACCTAGGTTATATAAATGGACATCACAGGCCAAAATCTTGCTGAAACCCCTGCCCATCTTGACAAATTTGGTTTTTTCTGTTTCTGAGGTGGGATAAGACCGTCAAAAAAAATGCAAACAAAATCACACTGCCCCTCTTCAATATCATTCAAGAACTCTGAAACAACTTGAATGGTGATACAAATTAAACGTACACATTCTCAATCAATCGCTGGGGAAACAACTTCATCCTCAGAAAATGTAACTTCAAATGCTCCTTCAAAATCCGCTATAATATCATTGATAGCCTCCAGCCCAGTTGATAGCTGAAAGAAAAGAAAGTTGTTATTTTTCCCTAATTATAAGACAGTTACAACTCACTCGTAGCATATCTTCGGTAATGCCTGTCAATGCTGCATCCTCCTCACCTAATACAGAAATCGTTGCTCCCGGTTGTGTTATCAGAGTCTTGGCATCACCTAAATAAATAATTATAGATCATCACCCATTTTGTCAAATCAACCAAGTATATTCTTTGAACTCACCAATATTTGCAAGATTACTGACCAATTTGAGGCTATTGATGAACTTGCAAGCTTTTGGTAAACCACCTTTGATGGCAAAATTGACCATTCCACCAAATAAGCCGGAACGCATTAATTTCTTGGCCAGTTGATGGAATTCATTTGATTCAAGACCATGATACGATACCCATGCCACCTTGGGATGCTTCACCAACCACCTGTAGGATGTAAAAAATATCCCAAAAAAAAATATGGCTCTGGGCTTACTTTGCTAAAGCCATTCCATTCGCACTGTGTCTCTCTGCCCGTAAGCTAAGAGTTTCAAGGCCTTGAAGAAGTAAGAAAGCTCCAAACGGGTTCATGCATGACCCAGTAAAAGCCATATCTGTGCGCACTTTTGCAGCATAGGCATTAGATCCAAATTTCTCAGAGTATACTACTCCACGATAAGGGCTCGTCAAGGCAGGAAACTTGCCAGAATGCCAGTCAAATTTTCCTGTTTAAGAGCATGTTGTTGGTGAGAGGCCCGAAAGACAAAACAATGTAAGACCAACCAGAGTCAATAATCACTCCTCCAATTGTTGTACCATGGCCTCCTATCCATTTTGTCGCACTATGGACTTGGAGTATGGTTTACAAAATAGTGCCTTCACGAATTGATTATGTTTACTCACTTATAATGTCTGCACCGTGATCGAAAGGCCTGATGAGATATCCTATGTAAAATAAGAAATTCTTATGAATTTCTCTTCACAACGCAATGGAAAAACTCACCACCCACTCCAAAGGTATTATCAACTATCAGAGGAATCCGATGATTATGGGCGACCTATCATTTAGCGGACATAAACCTGAACTGAAGGAAGATATGTCCAACAAATAAATTACCTCTGCAAGGCTTGCAATATCGAACATGACGAGACTGGGATTTCCCATGACCTCGATAAAAATCGCCTTCGTGTTCTCGTCAATAGCCGCCGCAAAAGCGTCTGGATCCGCAGAGGAAACAAAGTTAACGGAAACACCAAAGTTCTTCCAAATGGCTAAATACAGAACAGTTCGACTGTGTGCACAGACATGGTGGGGAATGACGAACATCGAAATTGAAAAAATGACTTTGCGTAGTAAATCAGCCAGACAAGAACCAATGAGAGACAGAACGCGATCATGTACTCACGTTGGAAAAAAGATGGGTTCTAGAACAAAGAGATATTTCAGATCAAAAACTAAAAGACGATGTGGCCTGACACCAACGAGGATACGATATTGTCACCCGCGCGCACGAGCGCAGCGACGGCCACAAACTGTGCGCCCTGTCCGGAGCCAGTAGCAACAGCAGCAGTGCCACCTTCCAATTGAGCCATTCGTTGCTCAAATGCCGCCTAGTAGAAGCCATTTGCAAAGTCCTACAACTAAGACTATTGAACTTACTATAGTTGGGTTGGAGAGCCTTGTATATGCGAAAGCCGGGTCACTTTGGAAGATGAGGGACAAAAAAAGAATGGCGGTGACTCGGAGATTTACTTCATGTTGAAGACTTCCGCTGCGTGCTAAGGCGTTGAAAGATAAAATCCAAACTAGTGAACGAAAAAGAATAAAAAATAACTTACATCCGCATCTCTGAAGCAGAAGCTAGCGGTTTGGTATATAGGAACTGCTCTCGCCCGTGTATCCGAGTCGGGGATCTGACCACCGTGAAGCTGAATAGTCTCGAATTCCGGATTCCTGTAGCGTGGGGGCCAGAAATGAGTGAGCGGCTGAGGATTAGACAGAATCTGCGAGTTTGAAATCCCACTTGTAAAATCGTGAGGCTGCCATGGAAAAAGTGTGGGGAGTTGACGGAAGGTGATTGATGATACCTACCGTCGATAATCGCTTTGAAGAACGTTGTCAAGACTCCAATGTCGGACATTTATCGGACATTTGTCGGACATAGTCTCACGGATGCCGAACGTACTGAATGTTGACTGAATGGAACGCAAAGTACAGAGGTGTCCAAATCAGGCCAAATCAGTGCAGTGTGCCACAAAGACTCCTGACACCGTAATGCGCTACCGACGACCCTGGGTGGCTTTCCTTGAGGCATGTACAACCAAGGGGTGTCGGATCGGTCGAGGACAGAGGGCGAGGGAAGTATTTATCATTTTTCGTTGGTGATCATATGTCCACTTCATCTATTTCCCTTGATAGCGCGACACGCGTTTCACAATTCATGTTCCTACCACCGTCTCCAGTGAAGGAACAGAGAAGTTCGTATCACGCATGTTTGCTCCTGGATCTATATACCACGTGACAAGGACCATTGTGGGTCGGCACACGGAATGCCTCAAAATGTTGCAGTCTGCCTGCCAGAGTAGCTTCAGTTGGTGAAATAGAGGCTCGGCAGGTCAGCAGGCGAGGTATCCTCTTGGTATGTCGAGCTTGTTGTACCAATACAGTCGCTTGCATATTGTTTTGCACAACGAAATTCACAGCGTGTTCGACCTATCCAATGAATTGGATCGCGGAGGGTCAGAAGGCTTCGAACCGATTTCCGCAACAACTAATGGGAGGGTTCAAAATACCGTCACAAGTACTGTCAAATGATCTGCCAGCCGCTGGATTTCATCCGACAGTCGCAGAAGACACCTGCGATCTCCCAAGCATGCACGCTCAACAGTATCAATTTTTCTTGAAGATGACGTAAATTTCAGTAACGAAGCGATGTGAATGGAAGACCCACCTTTCGATTACGCCCGAGGACTAGCACATCCCAATGATTCTTATGCTGCTGCAAGAATTCCCGATAAGATAGAGGATGACCTTCTCGGGGCGTCATACTGTACAGGGACAGGTTGTGCAGATGCCTTTGTGCCAAGGATGATGTCGTCGTGTAGTGTCTGCTGTGATGGACGATGGTCGACGTAGTGGTTCCTTGGGAACCAAGTCGCTTTCAGTAGCGGTCAACTATTGATGCTGTATTGCACCGCCGTTTCAGGAGTGCTTACTCCTACATGATGGTATCATTTCGTTACAGAGTTTTCGATCCAACCCTTTCGCGTCCAAGCGTGTCTGTGGCATTACACATTAACTGATCATAAGAAAAGTGAAGTATCGGAATGAAGTGTACCATGTCATTTCAATACGGAGAAACCTCATCTACAACCCCCGCCTTCTCCTGTTCCTGTTTCTGTTTCCTCTCCTCCTCCCTCCTCAAATCCTCTTCACTTGCCGGGTTCTCCTTCTCCCACACCTTCAAAGCCTCCTCATACGACTCCCAAATAAACCTCCCAGCGACTTCGCCGCCGTACTCTCCATCATCCTGGATCTCCAATACCTCTTCTCCAGCTTTCCCCTTCCCCTTTTTTGATGAGGAAGCCTTCGGGTCCGACAAGGCAAGGTTCTCGGGCACGGACACCTTCAGCGTGACGACAGCACATTCTCGGTACAATGCGCCTGGCTTCAACACTTCTTCAGGCATCGCATTGGGTACTTGGGTCGGCTGCACATGGACTTTGAATGGCGTTGGGAGGAAAAGAGCGTGCAGCACGGATTGCATAGCCCCTTCTGGTGACTTGAAGAAGATGCGAAGGATGGGCTGTAGGATGACATATCTACGCACAATCAGAATGAATCAGGCTGCAATGCAAAGTAAACTCACAGAGTGATTCGGAAAGGTGTGTAACGTATCGTCCAATCGGCGTTGAAGAGAGCTGATATGGTGTCGACTCTGCTTATGCCAGGACACACGCTCACAGCGACGATATTTGACCTTTGGACTTTAGCATTGACCACAGGGACAGAGGCCGAGCCTTCCTCGGGTTTGGGTAATTGTGCAGCTGGGAGTGCGTCTAGAATACGTTGGAGATGTCGTGTGACGATGATGCTTCGTAGAGAACGGATGCCTTCCCTCAGGAAAACAGACCTCTCTTTTGGAGGATCGAAACGAGGTAAGAGGGTGGCTGCAGCTGCGTAAAATGGGTTGACGATGTTGATAATCCGAATGTCCCGTTCCACAGGAGCGACTAGGAGTGCTGGCAATAGCAGCGTGGTGATCAAGAACGTCGCTAACGAACCCGCATTCCGCTCCTTTTCTTTGTCTTTACGTGAGAATAGAGAGCCAATTTGGCGGTACTCGTGCGCAAAAATGATAGCGTCGATTCTTTGGTCTTGTCCGGTGAGAAAGCGGGTACAGAAAGAGTGTATGGAGGTGGGTGAAGTGACGTCGCATCCCTCTGCGAATATCTGTTCGTTTGAGGTGGTTGTGCGAAGGAGACTGATGAGGATGGTAACGTTGGAAGAGTCGATTGGGTCTGAGGAAAGAGCGATTATGTGGGCTCCGCGTTGGGCTAGTGATTGGAGAATTGTCAGGCCCAGCGGTGTGAATCCGCCCTAGATGGTGTTCTCAGCGTTCAATTCACAGAGCAATGCGAAACGTAGTTGTACTCACCGTTATTAACACCGTTCTCCCATGTAAATCTCGCTCACGGGTGGTTCGTCGACCTTGGGATATGGAGTGCAGCGTAAGAATTACCACAATCCCAATGACGATGTGAACGGTGTATTGAGTCAGAAAGAACGACGAGGCGAAAGCCTCTACAATTTTGAGGACCATAAGATACTCGGAGAGTGTGTGTAGCCCTCACTGGGCCATGTTGTTCGTGGAGGTTGCTGGAGGTTAACGGAAAGAGTGATGAAACCGCCACTTGCTTCATGCTATCATTCCCAACTCAGACGAACTGACGACTGTTGAACTTGGCCACCACCACCTATGACCTTCAACGATGAACGTTGAACCCTCGGATTTAGGGTACGAATGACAAGGAGAAATAGGGCAATGTAACCGCAACGGACGCCCTCCACATCGTTCAACCTCCACACTCCCGACGCTGTAATGCTACGACGCGTCGTCGTCGACAAAACGTGCGCCACGACCATGGCTGCTAGTGCTTGAGAAACTTCTGCATCTCACTTTTATTGGTGCAGTCTTCAACGTTGGGCAACCGTTGGGTGCAACAACAACGCTGCTGGAACTCGGTCTGCACATTTTCGTGTTTCGTTGGATCTCTCTAATAGTTTTCTTGCTCGTTCAGAACTAAACGATTCGTCGATTAAAACAGGCTGCCGTCGACTTCGAGCGGAAGATAGCAAGATCGCCCATGTCCAGCTGACAGCCCAACCGCTCCACCTCGCGTCAAAATTGGTATGCGGACGTAGTTGGATCAGAAGTTTATTGCTGGTTGAAAAGTGAATCTTGAACTCTCTCAGTGGTAAACCTCACTAGATCAGGCGTGTAACTGAATTTCTCTTCGTTCAAGGAATAACATCGATTGGCTACAACGTTCACGGCGCCTTTGAAATTTGAGGGAGTTCATCATCCTGCGTTTTCGGACCCTTGTTCCAGCATAGATCCTTGGAGCCAGACCATCAAGTTCAAACCGGTGTGGCCCTGAAAGCACCGTCTTATCACTGGTTGGGCCATTTCGGCTGGTTGATTAGGGGACCTTTGCGTCCCCTTCAGTTTTTCGCTCATGTGGCAGGCTGAGGCACCGTAGTAGAAGCCTAAAGTGCAGAGTTCGGTTTTCTTGCTCAACCCACTCAAACGTCGATTGGTCACTTCATTCTGGCTATATACCCCCTATGAATGCCCCTGTGAGTCCACTCGCATTGTCCCATGATATATATTGAATGAAAAGCCAGATGCAATACCTCCACGCTTCCCTAAGACTTGAAGATTACTTCGAACCTTCAAGTTGGACGTTATCACGTTGATTATGTAAGCAATTAAATTCTATTTCACGAAAGATTTCTTCATTGAACGTCTACAGCCTCATCTGCTCGAGAACGGCAGGTACAATGACCTTCGGCTTTACGATCACCTTTAGCCCGTCTCTCGTCACTCTTCGCAAGCCGATGTCGGAAGTGCAGACCACTTCATTATCTCTATCATCCGAGTCATTCTCCTCAGCGTAACCATCGTTCATGAACTCATCGTCAAAGTCGGTTCCTGGTGGTATCAAGAATGTCTCCAATCGCTCAGGCGATCTATCCTCCCCGAGCATGACGTGGAGACGAATGGCTAGCGTTGCGACAATCGAAAGGTTGTCCTGGAAGGACTCCATGACACTTCGCGTTAAGGGGCAGTCTTTCGACCAACCTGACAGAGTTAAGATGTCGAGAAAAGAACTGCACATGAAATCTACTATCTGGGCTTTTCTGTTATCCGACGGACCTAGCCGTGCGCGGGTGATGGCACACCATCTCTCAGCGGCTTTTGGTTCTTCTATATCACTTCTGTCAGTCATCGCAGCTGACAATGAGGGTTGGATCCTTACCGACTCCTTGAATCTTTGAATACAGCGTCTCCAAGAAGGCGTCATACTCCCAATGGCACGGATACCACGACGTGATGATGCGGTTGCAGCAGTAAGCCAAACACACCTGGAAAGCGATCTGAAGCGACCACGGGTCGAATCCTTGTCCATCCCTGTGCAACGACACCGATTCAAGCACCGTTACCAGTTCATCTCCTAGATACTCCTTCACCTTTACTTGGAGAGCCTCTGTTTCCAGGTTGTGTCCCTCGATTGTGGCAGACCTATCACCAAAATTCTTGTCAGATAAAGAAGCAGCCGCTTGGAATATCTCCGAATTGAGCAAAGCAACGATGCGAACCGCGTCATCTCTGATGACGCTCATGTGTTTTAGACGGGTGGTGGAGTTTACAGCGACGGAGGATCGCTGTCTATCGTCAGTTCGACGACTCTGCAGCTCGTCCAGGTGCGAGTGGAGCTGGTCTTTCAACATCCGATTTTGTCGCTCTGTCGACCCGAATCTATCATGCAGTCGTCGCATTTGGTTAGTCAGCTCTGCTGTCTTCTCTGCCTCGCTATTCCGCGCCTCTACATGTCTCCTACTCGTGTGAAGGAGGTCTTCGCGTAGTTGTGCCAATTGCGCCTTCATATCTGTGGACTCCCCCTCGAGGTCACTCACTCTCGTGGACTTTACCTCTAACTCCTCATCCTTAGTATCGATCTCAGCTTGGAGCTCCCGTAGTTCTGTCATCAGACCAGCCTTTTCCTCCTCCAGAGCAGCTCTTGTTTGTTTCTCAGCTTCCACCTCGTCCCTCAACTCGTCGCTCTCTGCTCGCAGAGCTTGCAGCTCAGCTGCGAGGTCCTCCTTGTCTTCATGGACCAGCCGAAGCTCCTCGTCCTGCTTCGCCTTCTCCTGCGTGAGAAAATCATGGCTTGCCGTCAGAGAACGTCGCTCAGCCACCAACGCCGCCTTATCCTCCTCGAGAACACGAGCTCGGTCCCGAGCTTCCTTCGACTCGTCAAGGAGTCGATCAGCCTCCTTTAGTAATGAGGCATTTCCTTCGTTCAACTCTGCATTGCCCTTAAGCAGCTGTTGAATCCGTCCTTCGCTCTCGGCCTGCGACTTCGCTGCAGCTTCTTCTGCGGCCTTCAAGCGTGTTTCAAGATCGTCCCTCTCGCACGTAAGATCCTGAATCTCCTTCTCCCAAACCGCTTCCGCCCTTGCCTCACCCAATGTCTGGTGGAGAGGTTGAGAGGCGTTTAAGGGCTCGACATCACCACTGACGGTAGTCCATTCCTGGTCTTGTGCCTTTGCGCTCGAAAAGTCCAACTCGCCTGTTTTGACGCTGGACGGCCTGGAGGGCTCGGTGGGGGGTGTGGTGGTGGTCTGCTGTGGGACGACAGAGAAGCCCAGCTCTTCTGTCCCGACACTCGCAGTTCTGGCAGGTGACATAGAAGGAATAGTTGTGCTGGGGGTCTTCTGCGGAACAACGGAGAAGCCCAGCTCCTCTGTTACAACTCTTGCTGTTCTAGAAGCCTCGACGGACTTCGGCCCCGCTGGTGTAATGGTGTCGAAGGGCTCAACGGAAGTCGGCGTGGGTGGGATGATGGTGGTGGTAGTTTGCTGTGGGATAACAGAGAATCCCAGCTCATCCGTTCCGACACTCGCTGTCCTAGAAGGATTGACGGAAATTGGCTGTGGTGTCGCAGTGGCGGCGGGGACGACGGACGTCAATTCAGAAGACGTGGTTGGGAAGAGAGAGTCCCTTCCCCCTTCCTTCGACTTTTCCAAAGCGCGCAGGATTTTGGAGCTTTGCTTCTTCGCCTTCTTGTCCTCCTTGGATACGCTCGCGATACTTCGAGAATCAGAATTGTTGTCATCTGGGGATGAAATTCGTTTGCCGGCTGCACGCCGAGCCTTGCTCAGCATGCTTAGCATTGAGAATGGAGATGCCATGAAGATGGTATTGATGATTGCTTAACGCGTCTGCCTTAGTTGTTATATCGAACCTATTCCTCATGCCCACGTTGAGGTCCCTTATTCACGTTGGTCCCGACCACCAAACCGAAGGTACATGCAGCGTCTTCATGTCTTGATCCCCCTCCGCCTCATGTTCATGCTGCGATGCCGCGAATGTTTCATATCCGCACAACGAAAGCAAACAAACGGATCGTTTCAATTGATGCGTCATCGCGTCATCATCGACCCCATCTAGGTTTTTTTCGGACATGATGCATTCAAGAGTCCTGTTAGCATAGCATTCCAGGACCTACTACGTAAAGATATTCAAAACTGATCATGATTCATGAATGTACGTCCTCACAACCACATCCAGGCCTCCTCTCAGCTATTTACCTGCTAGATTGCTCCCCTAAGGCCGTTTGAGCCTCCGCCTCGTCCGTTAAGGACGAGGCTAAAACAACCTTGGGCTTGAGGATAACGTCATAGTATGATTGAGCTTGCCCATCAGCGGAACGCTTCGTCAGAACCCTGCGCAATCCCATGTCCGTTGTGCACATGATGCGCTCTCCGTCCCCGCGCCGGTTTCGGGCTTCCTTTCTGCTGTCTCCGTACGCATCATCCATGTTTGTTGGGTCGAATTGAGCCCTGGTCGAGATATAAAACGCCTCAATATCGACAGAAGTGACCCCTTCTTTGAGAGCCACCTTGAGTTGTAAAGCTGCTTTCTCAAGGGTTGACATGCGGTGTTTAATGTCCTGGATGATGATTTGATATTTGGAGCTGCTCGTCGACAACCCACAGACTTTCAGGATGGTAACAAGATCTTCCGCGATGTGTGGGCCATATGATCGAGAAGGTCTTAGCTGTGCTTGTGTCAGTGCACGCCATCGGCCTGCAACAGCCTGTTCCTCTGGAAGGGCTCTCAGCCTCGAATTCGCTGCCGTGTGGATGGATAGTACTATGCTTACCCGATGCTTGGATCCCTGCGTATATTTTCTTAAGGAAATCGTTATGGTCTCTGTACTCCATGGGACACAACGACTGTATGATTTGTACACAGCGTAGGATCATGATTGACTGCAACGCAAGTTGTAAAGGAAGGGGATCGACTGTTGGCAGCCTTGCGAGAAGCTGGGAGAACATCACCGAGCCCACGAGGATTTTGGCACGTTCCATTGCTTGTGTATCCAATCTCGCATTCCTCCCTGCCAGCTCGTCGAATTCTAACCCTTCTGACATGAACGCCGCACCCTGGAATATCTCGGAGTTCAATGATTGCGCCATTTTGACCAAATCCGCTCCTGCGAACGAGTCTGCCTTTGTCAAAAAGACTTGGGCGCCCTTCAGCTCCGCGCTCCTCACATCCAACAACTGGTTGGTCTGGGAATTCTTCGCCTCTGCTCGGCGTAATTGCTCTCTAAGAGCGCTGATATCGGCCGTTTGTTGGCGTATTTTAGCCTCCAACGATTGGCCATGGCGGTGTTGGGATTCCAACTGTGTGCGGAGGCGGTTTGTGGTTTCGGCATCTCGCTTGGCAAGTTGTTGAAGCTCCTCCTCCGCTTTTCGAAGTTTTTGCTTCGTACGATGACCAGTGTCCTCGGCGTGATTGAGACGACTGATCGTCTCATTCAGTTGCAACTTCAACTCCTCCTTGTCCTTCATCAAAGCTCTGACGTCCTCCTTCCCGTATTTCCGAGCCTCCTTCAACTTTCGACTCCCGTCTCTAGTTTCGCGCCGAGAAAGTGATTCTTGCACGTCGCCACCCCGTTTGTCATCGTGCGAGTCTCGAGACCTCCCTCTCTTCGGTTCTTTGCGAGCCTGCAGTAATTTAGCAGGCTCTATAGTTCTAGAGGATTGCTCCAGCAAACCATGCTCGTTATCTCGGTGGTGTGGGACACTTTGGTGATGTTCAATATGATCGTCTGTTGGTGTGGGTTGTCCAGCAGTTGCTGCTGAATGGACGCTTTGAGAGTCTTTTCGTTCTGCGGCTTTCCGTGGTGTTTTGCTCGCGAAACCAAGCCAGGAGAACATAGTTGGTGGTAGCGATGGTAGTGAGCGCTCATCGATTATTTCGACTGTGCACTTCTACATGCACACTCCGGCTTCAAGTTTCCTCAATGTGTCTGCCTCGTGCTGTGATCTAAGATTCATTGGCGGTTTCCACTTTCGGTATCACATTAACACGGCTAGATAGATAGATAAGATAGATAGGCTAGAACGTGAGACAGACCTATAAAGAGTGAGTTGAGAATGAGATGAACGTGAGCAACCTGCGGACCGAACAAATCTCGCTGGGCCCCATGACCACTCGCTCGCCTTGTACCAGTATGTGGGCACCACATACAGCGGGGTATCACACAGGCAATTCAGCCTCTTTCAATACTGACCGCAGAACTACCAAAATCTCAACACCGGGATTTAGTATCCTCGAACCAGGGCTGGTGCTCGAAATTCTGGGCGCAACAAGGTAAGTCGTTGTCATTCTTTCCTCGAGCTGAAAGGTGGACTGATGATGCGATGCGATGATAGATATTGAAAGGTATAACGAGGCAAATCTGTGAAGGCGAGAGGCAGCACTTGCAAGGGTCAAATGGTGAGTTTCTGCCACTTTCTTTTTCCTTTTGTTGGGGATTTCGTACTAAGGAGTGGCCTTTGTCAATTTTACTTGCAATATCGGTCGTGAACCGATTGAGCGGAGAAGGAAAAGAGGAAGGAAATTTGAAGAGTGGAGAATCTCTCGGTGCTGAGAGGTTCTATGCATCTGGCCCTTGGACCAAGCGTTTGATCGATACCAGGAACAACAGTAACTCCAGAGACGGGAAAGGAATTTGCATCCCGCCGCTTCGCGTCCCCCTCCCCTGGGGAACAGCGTATCGTCCTCCTCATGCACGAGCTCGTCTCTCTGCCTCCCTTGCTTCTCCTTGATGATGAAGTATGGAGCGGCATGGACGAGGGCATGATTGATACTTGACTAAGGGCGGTAGTGTTGGGGAGGGACAGGCAGTGGCTCTGATTACGCATTGGGATGAGGATGTTTTGTGGGGGGTGAGGAGGTTAGGCGGCTTAGGTTTTGGTAGGGGAGTGGTGGCTTGGTTTATGGATGGTAAGGACAGGATTTCCTGGGTACTTACTTATAGGATGAGGGTTTCCATAAGTAGGATTGATGGATGATGTGATCCACCCCTAGGCGGTTCGACGTGGGTTCGAATCCCACTCTCATCATATTCGAATCACATTAGAGTTCGATTATATTTTGCAATCTTTGATCACCGCAGCAGAAAAAAAAACTGCATTGTTTGCCACTAATCGCGTAGATAATGACATAGTTTCTTGCCATCTGGATCAGGATGCGGATCTTGCTGACTGACCTGGGACAGGGTCTAAGCGTGTCTTCTAAAAGTTAAATCTTCCCGCTACGGTGGACCAACATTATGCAGACACATTGGTGTTACAGTTCCATCCAGTTCCTGCCACGCTCTCCCGGAAACATATCCCGGCTCTCGGCAGAATCCTCCCACCAACCTCCCACCTCCTCTTTCTGTGGATGGTGGGATTTTTGAGGCAGAGGTAGAAAGCCCGGCTCTCGCATGTGCAGAAACGAAGCCGTTTCAGTCAGATTCTCGCGCGTTGTCCCCCGAATTCACTGAACGATCGGTCCAAGTCTTCCCAACTCTTTTCCTCTGTCACTGGTCGGATTGAGCGTGGCCGAGGTGGCGCTCGGGTAGGTTTGTATAACGATCGATAAGCAGACAGCCCGCTCTCACCAGCACAGAGACGAAGGCAGATTCTCGCGCGTTGTCCCTGATATTCGTTGAACGATCGTCCTGACCCTCACGTTCCTTCCCAGAATCGACACCATCACAAATGTCGGGCCAAGTTCAATATTGATGCACGACACGGTAGTGAGAAATGTTGAGCACCTGAGTCGTTGTGTTCGTGACTGCGAAGTGTGTAAGTCACGCTCTGACCTCGCTAATAGTAGCCTCTTCTGATTTACGTCCTGTTGAACCGCCTCCGCGCGGAGAACGCATTCATGACACCAGTTCAAACCGGCCTCAAAATACGATATCCGGACCAATATCATCCACCGGAATAGGGACTCTGGAGTCCGCCCGACCCACACAGAAGGTAAAGATATTTTCGATAGACTTTGATGATTATCTTTTTCTAGGCCTGGCATTCGTCGGAAACTAATTTTGGCCCTCCTCGCGAGTCCTAGTGCCAGTTCAACTTTGAAACCGCATCAGAAGGAATAAGTAGCTCGTTGAAAGAAGGTGGTGGTGAGTGTTGGGATGCTGGATATTTGGGCTGACCAAAAGCCCTCGTATGGAACGGTAGTCCTGCATGAGTTTGTAAGGTGAGTGCGCCTGCCGCTTGTGTCTGTACCGTCGTTGCTGGTATGAGTCGTCGTTGCTGGTATGAGTCGTCCGCTGCTGCTAAGAGCTGTCCGCCTCCGCTGCTATATGAGTAGTTCACGTCCGGCGCCGATGATCCCAGCAGTGGTTTATCTCTTCATAATTTTCCGAGTCGGGCACAATTCACGGAATAGTACAGCTAATGTTGTAGCGCAGGTCACAAAGGAAGAGCCTGAGGAAGCCCCTTGTTAGATCTTGAATTTTAAGCGTGTCCGAGGTCGTTCTTTGAATCCGAGTCGGAAGGAGTCGCCTTTGACCATTCCCCTCCATCTAAATTTCCCAGTTTAGATCTCTATCTCTCGGTAAGTCCAGCATAATTCACAGTATGGTATGGAAGCATACCTATTATTGTATTCCAGATCACAAAGAAAAAGATGGAGGAAGCTCGATTTTTGGATCTTGAATGTTCAGTGCGTCCGAAGTCGCGCTTGGGATCTGTCGGAAGAGAGCGTTGACCTTTCCCAACAACTAAAATGTTCCAGTCTTGATATCAAACTCTTCGCGAGTCTAGGTGGCCGGAAAATTAACTTGAAGACAAATCAGGAAGGCGTTGAGTGTTGGTTGAGTGTGTTTTGAAGTTGTGTTTGCAACAAGTTGCAACTCCGATCACTGTGATCTTCCTCACCACTTGACCACCACTCCCATACATAACCAGCATACGGCTGCCTGGAATCAGGAAGACTGCCTATCCTCACATTGTATTCCGGCACGACCTGACACTTGTTCAGGAATCAGAATCACAAGCAAATTGAAGCAATCCGAAATGTTGGTACTTGGTTTGTAAATTGTCCCAAGTTCGTCCTTAACACTTTTATCTGAATGGCGGAACCAACGAAGAATATTATGCCTGCAACTTGCAAAGTGCTCACTCTCACGATACAACTTAAACTACGCCATGGAGCGGGCCACATCCGTCAGCACGTCCCGAAATGTGCAAGTCGGTCGCCTTGTGCTCGGTCCTCGCGCTCATCCTGCTTGGAGCATTCTTACAACCAGTATTCTCCCCTTCTCCAATTGTTAATTGGAAAAATATCAAAGTAGCTACTAGACCAAATGGCCTCCGTAGCTTAGTATTTGACTCATTGCCGCCCGACCCTCAAGTTCAAGTTCAGCTTACTCTGGATATCCAATGGAGGGAGTCCTTCTGGGTCACAAACTAACAAAGTCCATCCGCTCTCATCGCAAACGCCCTCCTTCAATTTGTGCAGCCTCCCCAATCAAATACCTTCAATTTTTTATGTTAGCCTCAACTTCCCAATCACAAAGCCCAAAAATTCCATACGTACTTATCACTCAAATGACGCACGAGCGCCTCCTTTTTCGCCCACAATTTACATTTATCCTTCCGGCACTTTAAGCACTGAAACACAACGCCCAGATTCTCAGATGGTATATGAACCGGTTGACGTGGGCTCCTGTCGACATTTGGTCCGGGGTATGCGAAGATGTCTGTGCCTTCTCTTGGGCTTGATACGGAATGCCTAGTAAAGGGTAGGGTTGGGTTTTTTTTTCGAAGAAAAAAATTGAAAACGCACACTTTCTTGACATGCTGCACCGCCGTATTCCTTTTCACAAAATTATGACAATGCACTCCACAATGCATACAACTCCATACTTTATCTGAACTTGATGGATGGGGAAGTTCCCGACTCCGAACGTAGGCCTCTGCTTCTGGGGAGAGAAGGATCCACGACTCGGAGTGTTGATCCCAATTGTGTAGGCCTCGTCTGTGGTACATTTCCACTTGGTGTGGAATCTGCGTGGCATGATTAGAATTTCCACAAAAAGAAGAAGAGAAAAAAAAAAAAAAGGGAGCCAAAGTTATTATTCACTTACACATTCAGTCCACGTCAACACCCACTGACCTTCATCCACACCCTGATCGCCGTCCACCCCTTCCAAACACCCACCACAAATAAACCGTCGATCCAACGCCTCCACCCCCCTCGCCGTCGCTCTCTCAGGATCAAGACCCACCGATTTAATTAACGTCCTAGCAACTCGCTGTCCAACTTTACCAAACACGAGTTGTCGATACCCATGAGCAGGAAACAACTTGTCGCACGTTAGATGGATACGAACTTGTTCCCAGCCTATGTAGCATGGGTTGATGAGGAAGGTGCCTGAGGCGTATTTGTACCGCAGCCTGGACAATAAAATACGGACGTGGCAAGGTCGACTTGGGCTGGGGGTGGGGTGTCCGAGTCCGAATCCACCTGACTCGTAGTCGGGTAAGGTAACCGCCTACTCATCTGATCCTTCTGATACCTCCTCCAAACCTCCTTAACCTCATCCACCGAAGCCTTCAACGCCTCCATAAAATCACTCTTCTCCAACACCCGATCCGTCGGACGGATCGGGTCCATAAGTATCTCCGAAATTGGCTGAAACTCTTCTAAAGCCCAAGTGGGCGGGAGGTCCACCCAGGTTGAAGGTGGGAGTGTAGATTGGTGGGATTTGTAAGCTTTGTCGAGGGTGTATCGGCGTTGCTTTATTAAGCGCTCGCGTTCCTTTGCGAGGCGCTTGGTTTTGCAGGTTGTGAGGATGGTGAGGACGTCTGGTTTGATTTCGCCCCAGTCTTATGACGAATGAATGAGTAGGTAATATTTATTTGTGTAGATGCTAAAAGGGAGAGGCTCACCACGACACGTGAGTACTTGAGTCTGGACAACTCCCCCGTCTTGGAAAATCTAGATAAGAGCGAGGGGAAAGCGGCGTTGATGTCGGTTTGGGTGTATCCTAGGTTATGAAGCTTTTTTTGAAGTCTGTTTTTCAAACCCTACATCAGCTTCTATTTTTTTTTTCGTGTAAGAGAATCGGTATATCGGTCACAGATGATATCCGACCGCCCAATCCAATGAGCCCGGGCCTTTTCATAAAATCCCCTTGCCCATTCGTCGCATGTTTTCGCGGACTGTTTTTTTGTTTTCAGAAAGAAAAAAAAAGGAAGAAGCATGGCATGAGACTCACACCCAAAAGCTGCTCAACATCCTCCAAACTCCTCCTCTTCATCTCCTCAAACTCCTCCATCGACCCCGTCCTCTGCATATCCTCAATCATCTTGGCAGTGGCATGTAACTCAGCAAGGGGGTATCGGCCTGCATGGGAGCCGTATAGGTTGCGTGGCAGTCTTTCCCGTCTACACATGCCACACAGTGTAAATTTAAATATAAAAAATAAAGGAGAAGGGAAAGACGTGAATACCAGGACGGTAAAACGGCGCCATTAACTGCTAAACGAAGTGTTCTGTGGGATTAGGAAGGTTGGAAAGTTGGTGTGCGCCGTAAAGGGGTGTGTAGCTGCGGTAAACTAGAGGGTAAACTTCGTAGGTATGGAAGAATAAGGGAAGTGGATACGAACTGTACTGCGATACATGGGTTACATAGACGGCGCCGGCGTACGAAGTCGATGGACGCGCCTTTGTTGTTGCAATACTACATCAAAAGATAAACAATCTATTAACGGTACGCCAAAAGCGGAGGGTGAGACACACATAATATAGGTCCCTCCCAAAAAGTAAAGAAGCCCATGTCACAGGTGTCATGTCCCCAGGGTTGATTGGAACATCTAAAATCTGAAAGGAAGACTTCCATAGATCTAGAGAGAGCGCGTTTTGCGAGGATATCAAGAGACTTCTGAAATATGTTGTCGTCTGACCGAGGTAGTATAGATCCATTGGATGGAAGCAGGCTAGGATCTGGGGTGAGTGACCTCCGAGTCTATATTCTCTTTCTTTCTTTTCAAGGGGGCAGGGGAAGGAAGGGAAGACAAGAAAAATGGATACGCGCCTCAATTATAACATCAAAAGGCATCTGCATGAACCTATCAAGGCACTTAACGTCCCCAAATTGTTTCCGACGTGCTCTCTCTGCGCGGGTAATGACATGCGCGATGAAGTTGCCCGCGATGTGTGGGAGCTTGGCATGGTCGCATCTCGCGAATAGGTTTTGGTATTCCGGCTATTGAGTAGTAATTAACACTCGAGCCCTTGTTTGAATAAGGAGGAGCATGCTTACTTCGTTGTGAACTTCGAACACCTCATGGTGGCCCAACGAAGGGAAGATCTTGGTATACCCAAGCTTCGGAATCCATTCTGGTTCAAGAAACCAAGAGAGACAAGTAATCCAACTGTTATCCCTGTCAAAAAGAGATTTCTGTCGTGTGCCCTGCGAATTCGTAGCTATCTTTGTCGCCTTGCGGGGACTCAGGAGAGTTTGTTTGTTCTTGTTTATTTCTGAGCCTTCAAGGGTTGGATGAGGTAGACCACCAGAAAACGTCTGGCCGCTACAAGATAAAGAGCAAGACAGTGGTATCGAGTTTGAAGGCGTTCACAACTGATAAACTGTCAGCTTGACGACTTATCAAAACATCTGTTACATACACTGATCGTGTGACCATTTGACGCTGTCAAAAAGAAAAAAGTGGATTCGAAAAGCAGCTCACACCGACAGGATGCCAAATGCACGCAGTCCTCTCCAGAAGGTGTCCCTAACCGAGGTAAAGCGTACGCGTATGCTGCTGCGGCACAACGTTCAAAGGGCAGTGCATCTTTCCCACGGGGGTACCTTTGTTGAATGTGTTCTGCTTGCAAAAAGCTGTGACAACTCCTCCACATTCTCCCGTCACCTTTCGTCACGATTTTGTCACTTGAAGACCCTCAAAGGCGTCGCGCGTAGGTCACACCAGGCATCACGCAAAGGACCAGTACAAGTTACTGGAGGAGAAGGACAATCGGGAAAAAAGAAAGGAAAAAAAAGATCCGTACACATAAGACTAGGAATGGAGTCAGCCAGCTCATCCCGCAAACGACCCCGCGAGAACGAAAGTGAGAGCCAAAGAGTCAAGCGCGAAAAGGCGGCAGCCCGCCAGCGGAAAAAGCGGGAAAAGGACAGGAATCAGGCTGGGATGGGGTTGATGGCCTTTACGCACGACGAGCAGGATCTACAGCAGCAGCAGCAACAACAACAACAAGAATTGCACCACCACCACCAACAACAACAACAACACCACCATCAGCACCACCTCCAGCAGCAGCAGGACCAGCTCTCCTTACCCCCCTCCCCCGGCTCCATGTCCGTCTCGGTATCCGCGTACCAGCAACAGCAACAGCAGGTACAAGAACCGGCCCCGTTGACTCCGGACGAACAAGCCCGCAGGGACCGTGTGCGCGCCGCTGCTCGCATACGGCAGCGAAAACACCGGTTGATGGTCAAACAGCGGAAAATGCGCGAGTTGGGGCTGGACATGGGGAACGAAATTATGCCGGGGATGGAGGAGGTGCATTATAGAGCTGCGCCGGATGGGCAGTATCATCAGGTTATGCCGCATGAGCTTCAGCAGCAGCAGCAGGGGGGACAAGGGCCGCAAGGACAAGGACCGCCGGGGCAGCACATGCAGCAGCAGCAGATTGAACCCCCATTCCCGCAAGGTGCGGTTCTTGGAGGCCAGACCTTCGCCTCGACTTTACTCCTTTCTTTTTCGTGTGCCCCGTTGCTGAAACAGCACCTCCTCCGTACGCTCGCCATGTCGAATGAAGAGCTTACCTCGCTCGAACCTATCATTGCGGAGGCTTGGGATCGATGGGACCACCAAGTACGCTTCTTTTTTTCTTCCCTCCCTCCCTCACAAACTAATTTAACCTACCCTCGCAGCGCCGCCTCCACTACGCAGAACAAGCCGCAAAAGGTAACGCCCAAGGCATCCCCGGCGGGCCCTCTGCCTTCCCCGTCCCCGTGGACATGTCCCAGCACCCCCCACCCTTCCCTCACCCCAACGGCCCCGGGCCCGCCGATACCAACGCCAACGACTTTCGGGCACGCTTCCAGCGGAGTGTAGCTGGTCCAATCGCTTTTCGGTATGGAGATGCGACGGGAGCGGGGGCGGCTACGCCCACGAGTACGACTGCGAGCACGGCGGACCCGATTGACCCGCACCTTGCGCAGGCGGGTGTTAATGGGAATTCAAAAACGTCGGGGTTTTGAAGTGATTTGGTTGGTTTTGCCGTGACTTGATGATGAAGCTCCTGGCTCTTCTCTCCTTCTGATGAACACAGGTTGATTGGGGGTTTTTTATTCCCCGGCAAACGTTACCTTGCAACTTGTTGGCCGCCGTTTCGTCCGTCCGATAGTGTGATGCATCCACCTGTACTTTTTCGTACGTACTTATTGTAGTCCCCACCCCCCCCTTTTTACAAAGTTACTACGCCTCCATATGTAGTCTAATCATGTTTCCCCTACTACTTATTCGCACCAGTCTGTATCGATTTTTAATCAAGAAGCGTGCTGGAAAAGTAAAAAGAAAAGAAAAAAAAACAAGCCAGAAGAATTTTCACTGAAATCCTCCACTGTTATTATAAAGCTTGGAAGCATGGAAGTATCCAACTTGAGTTGGGGCGAACTGTACTGCGCCGCGTACTAGTCCCTTTTCGTAAAATTCGTTCAACCGTTTCTCATCCACATGGTGGGTATGAACGGTAAAAACCACATCGAGGCGCCTCAGCATAGTCAAGGCTACAGCAGTCCCGTGAGACTCGGGCATATTCACCGCTGTTTGAGATGAGAGCCTGGATTGAACCATATCACTGAGAACGCCATCATCGGCGCCGACACATCGTTGAAGTGTAAGGTTTTTCAGAAGAGGACACAACGGCCAGTCCGACCGAGTCAAACCGTTGAGAGTGAGGGATTTCAAAACATTATTTGTCACCACTTTTAGTGGAGAAATGACTCCGTTTGTTTGTATTGTCAGATCAGTGAGAGAAGGGGATAAAATGCGAAGACAGTCAATGAACTCGCTCTCGCCAACGATTAGGTTGTATAGTCCCAAAGATGATAATCGGAAGGAAGCGCTTGCCACACTTGACAGGAATGGGAGGATACTGATGGAGCAGTACTGAGGCAGATTTGACACGAAGAACCGGGTGAAATCAAACGCGATGAAATGTAAGTCTAAACTGTAGAGATTGGGGGTGTCCAAACGCGAAAGCAATTCCTGAATTTCACGAGGGTGCTCTGAGAAGATAGTCATAGATCGGATCATGGTGGTGGTTCTGGAGAGGGGTGGTTTGGCCAGAAAGAAGTTCTTAGACTCAAGCATCATGAAGCGGAACTGAACAAGACTTTTCGCTCGATCCAGAAGAAGGAGACCTTCTTCTGCTGTAATAAGACTGGAGAAATGAAATTTGTGAAGCTGTGCCCATGGCATTTGGTCTGGAACACCGTAAATCGATTGACGCGATCGATTGTCGACGTAGCTGCGGAGATTTGGGGCAGCCGCAACCAAGGCTTGACAGTATGCTGCTTCCTGTAATTCGTCGGAGTGGAATTTGATGTCTATGTGCTCCAAATAAGGTGCAACTGACCCCTCGGGGATGGAAGGAACCTCAGGAGGATTGGTTATGCAAGTTATGGAGCGCCATCGGTGGAAATCATTTGAGAGAAGATGGAACGCAGCCGTTGTATGCTTTGAGATGTGGTTGGAAATAGAGGTTTCGGGGCGCCGCGGCGAGCCATATTTCTCTAACGTTAGAGACAGTGGTACATCTCTGGATAGTTTCAGGAACGTGGTAATTGCACTGAGGTGGGAATGTGTCGTCATATGCATCTCTTCCTGGTCAAAATTGACCACGATGTGGATAAACGACCATAGCTCCGAAATGGATGATACGAGTTGATGCCAATCCTTGCAGGTTGTGGAGAGGGCCCTCATCCCTTCGAAAAGTTCCCCCTTCTGAGTCTTTAAATCTTGATGAACGAGTGTGAAGATGAGGCCCAATATTTCAGGAGGGAGATTACTGCGAAGGAAAATCATGGCTGAATGCAGGGTGAGTGTGTTTAGAAACCACTTACCCAATGCGAGTAGATCCCACCTTCAAGGCAAGAGCCCCAAAATTTGGCTGAGGACGCTCCGAGTCACTGGACATCAAGAGGCCTGGGGATCATGTCATCTAGCGAGATCGAGGTCGACAATCCGCGAGAAGTGCGTACCTTCAATTGGCATCGACGTTTTCTAAGAGATTCTTGAGGAATCGCGACCTGGTGAGGCGACTTTTCAATTTCGTACGTTGACCGAAGCCAAAGCCCACTGTGCACCCCAGTTCGGGTTGTTTTCCCCCGATCACCGAGTGCTTTCAACCTTTCACCGGAAGATCGGGTACCAACCTGGTTATTCTGAACCCAGTACTGCCTAAAGATCTATATTGACCAAAGTATCTATTTAATGAGTAGAGTAGGTAGCTTTTCTCTCAGGCCGACGTCTTCAATGATTGCGACCGAAATTTCACTTGTTTTGTGAAATTTCAGCTCCTGTGATAGGTTGATTTTACAAGAATCTTGACCTGGTGAGGCGACTTCGCAAATCCGTACGTTCATTTGAGGTCAAGGTAGAAAAAGGAGCAGAAGACCGTTACAAAGAGAGGCTCTGGAGCCATGTCTGGAACAGTCAATGGTTTTTCAATTTTTTTCAAAAATATGCATCTAAGAAGTAGGGTACTTTACCCTGACTACATATGTAAAATTGTAGATCAAGAGCAAAAGTTGTTCAATTTTGACAGATTTATTTTCAATTTTGGATAGATTTATTGTAACACAGTCCAGATCTTGATATAAGTACAACTCTTTTGCACATGAAGCTCAAGGCAATGTCAGGAAATATTAATAACATACCAGTAGCTCATGTATCAGCATTTGATAGCAGTGCAACAATTTTTTTTACCTGTTGATTCTTTTTTTGTTGCCTGCTGGATGGCAACATGCCATTAGGAAGGAGAAGTGTATGTAAAGTGCTTCCACATACCCTGAAATATTTTATTAGCATTGGCTCATACTTTGATGAGCAATTGCATTGAGTAGAACTGACTTTATATGCTCAGAACAACACAAATTTTCTTCCCAATGGTTCAAAAATGCATTCTGGGTTCAAATTGGAGTATCCTACAATTTATCACAAGTAAAGTGAGCTATTCAAATATTTTTCTGGCCTGCGGCACATAACACGACAAGAAAAGCCTGTAGGGAGGTGAACTGCTTGAGCAGCTGCCTATTTGGGTGTTAATCCCAATCGGGTGTTAAATTTTCCCAGGTTCCAGAACTACATTACTGTGATTTCAGACATTTTGCCTATCAAATTTTACTGACCACATAAGTAGAGGTAAACATAGAATACAGGTATTTTTTTTCTCAGCCTGCGGCACAAGTTATGGTTTTGTGGAAGATTGTGTGTGTTAGAGGCTGCCTGCCTATTCGGGTGTTAATTTTGATGGCAATCCCAATTGGGTGTTAATTTTTGATTGTTCCCAAACGGGTGTTAAATAACGCCCGATTAGGCGTTATTTTGTTCCAGACATGGCACCTGAGCCCAAAGAGAGTCGAACACTGCATCTATCTGTCACGGGGCTTACCACATCTTGCCTTTTACCACCACATCGGCAACATCGAGTCCAGTAAGGTCGCTGTCATTGTTATCCTTAAGCAAAGTCGACCCTTACCCTCCTCAGAATCAGTTCCATTATTACCAGGTTATTAAAATCACCCGGAAACCCAGTAAAATTTACCTTGTCCTCGAAACCAGTAGATACCAAGTTAAATTATAACCTGTTCAACAAGTGATCTTCATAACTTGTAAACCAGGTGTATCAGTATATATATCTCGGGGGAGCTTTGATGTCATTGTGGAGCATACGGCGCAATCTCTATATATAATACTCAACAAACGTGAGAATGGGATCAAACAACCTCTTTCTCCCTCCCCCATCCAGCGGCGCCGGCTGACCTCTTGACATCGTCCATCATAAACTGGCTAACATCTTCCGTTTGGTAAGTGCTTTACTCCGGAGGCAACTGACTTACTAATTGAGTTCAATGTGCCAGACCCGCTCAAATACACGAAAGCGCTTCCCTGCAGACTGGGCGAGGGGAAAGGGGAAATTTTGGCGGGCTATGGCAGGGATGGGGACGAGGATGACGATGATATGGAGTATCAGGGGGCTCAGTCTGGGAATGAGGGTTTGGGAAGCAACGGCACGTTCATCCAAGCATCGTAAGTTGGTCGATACCGTGTAGATAGGTTGTATATAAACACTCAGTTATAGCCTCAATTTCATCTGTCTACCGAGTTTTTTATACCAGTCCAATCAAAATTCAATGTGGTGATTTCTATCTGTTGGACAAGGAGTGAGAAAACCCGTTTTCCCAGCTATTTTGCCTCTACAGTACAACGTGGTTAACAGGTTATAATAACTGTTACAACGAGACCTGGGAGCGGGTTATTTCCGTCATATAACAAGTTATTCTAACCAGGTATCAACAACCTGTTGACCAAGTTATTTTATTTACCACCCAGGGATTGTAGTCCGAGAAAGTAGTTATTATAACCTATATACCCAGCTTTACACCCAGGGAAAATAACCTGACCTGGGGTGCACAGTGGCCTTAGAAAAGGTACAAAGAGACTTAAAAATACTCTATGTCAACGGGCCGGGCCGTCTTGCCACATCTCCCCGTTTATGAAGTTGCCACTGTAAACTTTTATGCCGACCTATTATTATAAAGGGAAGAATGGAATTATCCGACTTGAATTGAGGCAAACTGTACTGCGCCGTTCAATCCTTTTTCGTAAAATTCGTTCAGCCGTTTCTCATCCACAGGGTGGGTATGAAGGGTGAAAACCACATCGAGGCGCCATCAGGAGGCACTGACTTGGGTCAGTAGTTACAAATACTCTTGGTATCCTGGGTAGCTGGGTACACAAGTCCCCTAGTGCATAGTTACCGTAGTCATCCTACCAATCTCAGTAGCACCAGTAGTTTCCTGAATTCGGTACATAGCTCTACATTGTGTGTGTTGCTCTGTGTCTACCGAAGCTACCAGGTGAACCAGGGCTATGTAACAAAGTCTAATCATACATTGTTGGCGTTGTTTCCGATCTACAAAGGCTACTGGTTCAGGATACTCAATAAAATGCTGGCCATTTTTTTGAACCAAAATGGCAGTAATAATCAGAAAGCATTGTTATATGAGACAGGATATATACACATTCAAGCTACTAGCCTAATCATGAGCAGAAGGAAGGGTGTACCACATCTACTACCTGGTGACAAGGAGAGCAAGGGGTGGGGTAGGGGGAGGGTGAGTACTGGTGTGAGAGAGACAAGGAAAGTAAGCACTGCCTGGAGATGGGGAGAGAAAGTGGGAATGGAATGAGGTGGGGTGAGTACAACGAACACCGATAAGAGATGAGGAAAGCTGATCAAAGAAGAGGAAAGTACGCACTGCCTCGAGATGAGGCAAGAAAGGGGGAAGGAGGGGCGGAGTACAACAAACACCAACAAGAGACAATGCCTGGAGATGAGGAGAGGAAGGGAAAGGTTAATATGGCAAAGACAGATGAGGGAGGATGAAAGTACGCACAGAGATGCTACACATGCTTGAGGGTAGGTGGTCAGCACTGCCTGGACAAGAAGGCAAAGGGGGTATGAGTACAGCAGACATGGACAAAGACAGATGAAAGCACGCACACATTCAAAACGAGGAGAGAAAGGGGGGTGAGTGTGAGTATGGCCAATACACACGCTGACTAGAGATGAATGAACAAAGAGGACCGTGAGTGTGGAGAACATGGACGAAGAAGGAAAGGACGAACTGACTTGAGATGAAGAGGACTTGGATGGAAAGACTTACAAGTTGGCGATGTGGTGGGGGCAAGGAAGGAAGAACGTGTTGAGAAATTCAAAAATCAACATTGTCACATGGTGTCGGAGTTTGAACGGACTTCAACGAATTGTCGAAGTTGTTCAACACCAGCACATCAACCACTTCCTCACGCTCATCCTTTCACCTTTTCCCCTCTCAACCCAACCCCTCCCGCCTTCCAAGCCCTGTTTGCCCATCCAGGTCCCAGAGCCAGTGCACATATCAACCGTGTATGTGGCCTCATGGTGTATGCGTGCAACCTCTCAACCGACGACGACATTGAGGACGACATCCATGATGCAAGGGAATGGAAGGAAGCGGCTCGGTCTCATGGTGAGGAGAAATCAACGTCATCACAACGTTCACGTCCAGTACAGCTATAGCACGGGGGATGTGAGTTCATATCGTGCGTATTCCACCGTCTTTTGCTGGCAGTTGGTCATCGTTGTCCAGCACAGTCCGGTCCACGAATGCATGGCTGGGTGAGTCTTTCCTCTTTCTGTACCCCCCCACACATGAATCCCATTGAACTCCATTCTCCTCCATTTCACCCTTCTCCCACCCATCACAAGCCTACTGTTCTTCGTCTTCCTCACCTTCCAATCACCTCCTGCACACCCGCTCCCTCATTCCTCTCTTTCGCACTATTCAACCACTAACGACCTTCTTTCAGCACTATTGCAGATGGTTTCTTTCATTACGGACATTCTCGGATGTATAGCATACACCTAGCATAACCTATTTACTTCATTCTTTGTTGTGCACCTTTATTCGGAAATTTCAGTTTCCTTCTCTCAACTACTACTGATTATTTGGTTGAGTTGTCTAATCTACCGAAGCTACAGGACTTTGGTGAAAGGATATTGGGGCTACTGACAGTTGCCGGACAGCTACTGGGGAAATGTACACTCAAAGGCCAACTACCTAGACACATTGTGGCTACTGCATGCTATGGAGAAGAACCAAAATGTACCGGCGCAACAGATTTTAGTGAGAAACTACGTATAAATTTGCTGTTTCCTGATGGCCTTAGCATAGTCAATTTGGCTAATACGGCGGTACCGTTGGAGGGCCTTTTCTCCGATGTTTGAGACGAGAGCCTGGATTGAACCATATCACCGAGAACGCCATCATCGGCGCCAACAGACCGTTCAAATGTAAGGTTCTTTAGAGTAGGACACAACGGCTCCGAGTCCGTCTGAGTCGAAACGTTACAGGTGAGGGATTTCAAAACGTTATTCGTCACCATTTCTAGTGGAGAAATGACTTCGTCTGTTCGTATGCTCAAATCAGTGAGGGAAGGGGATAAGATGCGGAGACAATCAATGAACTCGCTCTCGTCAACTATTAGGTTGTGCAATCCTAAGCGTGATAATCGGAAGGAATCACTTGCACTTGACAGGAATGGGAAGATACGAATGGAGCAGTGCTGAAGGAGATTTTCCACCACCCCTCGAGTGAAACGATTAGTGGGGAAATGTAAGTTCAAACTTTCAAGATTAGGGGTGTCCAAATGCACAAGCAATTCCTGAATTTCACGAGGGTACGCTGAGGAGAAAACCATAGATTGGATCATGGAGGTGGTTTTGGAGAGGGATAGTCCTGCTTCCAGAAAGAAGTTCATGGAGTGGTGCATCACAAAACATAACTCAACAAGACTTTTTGCTCGATCCAGAAGAAAAAAGGCTTGTTTTGCATAGATAGGGTTGGAGAAACGATATTCGTGAAGCTGTGCCCAGGGCATGTGTGGAAATGGAACACCGTAAATTGATCCATGGTCCGATGGTCGACGTAGCTGTGTAGATTTGGGGCAGCCGCAACCAAGGCTCTAATGTATTCTGCTTCCTGTATTTCATTGCCGGAGTAGGATACAATGTCTGTGTGCTCCAAGTAAGGTGCAACTGACCCCTCGGGGATGGAAGGAAGCTCAAAACTGGTTTTACAAGCTATGGAGCGCCATCGGTGGAAATTATCTGAGAGAAGATGGAACACAACCGTTGTAAGGTTTGAGGTGTGGTTGGGATTAGAGGTGTCGATGCGCGAGCCATAGAGCTCTAACGTTAGGGACAGTGGTACATCTTTGGATAGTTTCAGGGACGTGGTAATTGCACTGGGGTGAGTTGAATGGGTCCCTTCCTGGTCATTTTCCACGATGTGGATACAAGACCATAGCTCCGGAATGGATAATGCGAGCTGACGCCAATCCTTGCAAATTGTGGACAGGACAATCATTCCTTCAAAGACTGCCCCTTTCTGAGTCTTCAGATCTTGATGAACGAATATGAAGATGAGACTCAATATTTCAAGAGGAAGATCACTGCGAAGGAAAATCATGGCTGAATGCAGGGTCAGTTCAGGAACCACTTACTCAATGCGAGACGGTACCACCTTCGTGTCAAGAGCCCAAAAATTTGGCTGAGAACTAGACATCAAGAGGCCTGGATCACGTCATCTACCGAGCTCGAGGTCTACAATGGGAGGCGCGTACCTTCAATTTTCATCGATGTTTTATCAGAGATTCTTGAGAAATCGCGACCTGAGGCGATTGTGCAATTTCGTACGTTGACTTGAGGCCAAGGTAGAAAAAGGAGCAAAGAGAGTTACAGCAAGATGCAAAAACGTAGACACCTCTCCAAATTTCCCAGACTCCGCCTCGCTTTGTACAAACAACCGCTTTAGGAAATGAGCGGGTGTGAGTGATGCAAACATTCTGTTCTCGCTCCACCAACCTCCACTTCGTGCATTCGCTAGCATCTCATCTATGTCATTTCCTATCAACCCTCGTAACAATGAGATGCTGTTTTTGTTCGGCAGATATAAAACGGTAGTTCCCCGACATATTTGAAGATGGGAAAAGAGAAATTATATAGAAGTACCATATTTGTAGGAGTATATATAATAAAATGGCGCGCCATGAAGCCACTATGACGCGTCGTGCGGCGGAGTTGCACCAAATGCGGTTGTTTGTACAAAGCGAGGCGGTAGTCTGGGAAATTTGGAGAGGTGTCTACGTTTTTGCATCTTGCTGTAAACAGCTTGGAGAAAACCCTATCTGTTCCGACGGGCCGGCGGGCGAGTCTTGCCACATCCTGCCCAGCCACAACCACTGCTGCATCCACATCGGCGACGTTGGGTCCTGTAAGGTCGCTGTCATTGTCCTTCGAGCAAAGTCGACCCTTACCCTCCTATAGACCCTTACCCTCCTATAGGCCTTTACCCTCCTATAGCCCATTGCAGTTTTCCGGTGCCGTCGTCTACTTACTCTGCTCAGTGCTCATCCAAGAACACTACATCCTGCAATGCTTAACATAAACGACCTGCCTCTGGAAATGTTGGGCCTTATTATCCAGTCATTCTATCAAGATCTGGAGAGAGGAGAGGTCGACATTGGATTAGCCGCCATTTGTCTGACGTGTAAACGCTGGAACGACCTCGCGCTATCCACTCCCGAACTTTGGAGTTTCATTGGAATGATCCACGACCCCATTTCCACCCTACCGATATCAAAATTCCCCTCGTATTCGAAAGTCTCCAACTGGCTTGACCGATCCCAAAATTGGCCACTTTCTCTAGTCGTGAGAATGGAGCGGTTCAACGATCTCGAGTTTACATCCGTAAACGCTATACTACCACTTCTTGTAGCTCACTCGCACCGGTGGCGTCGTGTCTCTCTTGGTTTTTGTGATTGGTTCCGACCGACGGATGTCCACCTCCCTCATGCCTTCATCGCCCCGATCTTGGAAAGTGTTGAAGTGATTTGCGATGGCTACCATGAACAGGATCATATTTTCTATGGAAGGCTGCTGCGTGGATGCCCCGCCTTGCGCAGCTTTACTAGTAATCAACGAGGACTCCAAGGACACTATTTGAAGGAAGGGCTGAAGGAAATGTACGGAGAGGGATTACAAGGTCATGTGAAGTTCTTCATTTGAATAAATGAAAGCAGGCAAGCTCTGCCTAAAGATCTATATTGACCAAAGTATCTATTTAATGAGTAGAGTAGGTAGCTTTTCTCTCAGGCCGACGTCTTCAATGATTGCGACCGAAATTTCACTTGTTTTGTGAAATTTCAGCTCCTGTGATAGGTTGATTTTACAAGAATCTTGACCTGGTGAGGCGACTTCGCAAATCCGTACGTTCATTTGAGGTCAAGGTAGAAAAAGGAGCAGAAGACCGTTACAAAGAGAGGCTCTGGAGCCATGTCTGGAACAGTCAATGGTTTTTCAATTTTTTTCAAAAATATGCATCTAAGAAGTAGGGTACTTTACCCTGACTACATATGTAAAATTGTAGATCAAGAGCAAAAGTTGTTCAATTTTGACAGATTTATTTTCAATTTTGGATAGATTTATTGTAACACAGTCCAGATCTTGATATAAGTACAACTCTTTTGCACATGAAGCTCAAGGCAATGTCAGGAAATATTAATAACATACCAGTAGCTCATGTATCAGCATTTGATAGCAGTGCAACAATTTTTTTTACCTGTTGATTCTTTTTTTGTTGCCTGCTGGATGGCAACATGCCATTAGGAAGGAGAAGTGTATGTAAAGTGCTTCCACATACCCTGAAATATTTTATTAGCATTGGCTCATACTTTGATGAGCAATTGCATTGAGTAGAACTGACTTTATATGCTCAGAACAACACAAATTTTCTTCCCAATGGTTCAAAAATGCATTCTGGGTTCAAATTGGAGTATCCTACAATTTATCACAAGTAAAGTGAGCTATTCAAATATTTTTCTGGCCTGCGGCACATAACACGACAAGAAAAGCCTGTAGGGAGGTGAACTGCTTGAGCAGCTGCCTATTTGGGTGTTAATCCCAATCGGGTGTTAAAATTTCCCAGGTTGCAGAACTACATTACTGTGATTTCAGACATTTTGCCTATCAAATTTTACTGACCACATAAGTAGAGGTAAACATAAAATACAGGTATTTTTTTTCTCAGCCTGCGGCGCAAGTTATGGTTTTGTGGAAGATTGTGTGTGCTAGAGGCTGCCTGCCTATTCGGGTGTTAATTTTGATGGCAATCCCAATTGGGTGTTAATTTTTGATTGTTCCCAAACGGGTGTTAAATAACGCCCGATTAGGCGTTATTTTGTTCCAGACATGGCACCTGAGCCGTTTGAACCCTGACAGTTGCATCACCTATCAAAATTCTGACAGTTGGATGTGACTTGGACGTGACAGCCATTTCAATCTCCCGAAACAATCGACTTCGACGACCGGTACGCCTCCGTCAGCTTCCACCACTGTTCAATAAAAAAACTAAAAATATATTCATGTTCATGAGATACACATTCACCACCACACAAAATTTGGAGGCCCGGAGTGTAGCGGTTGTGGCATAATTCAGCC